TCTGGGGTTTAGAACTCAATGTGTGAGCTTTGGGGCGTGGGGACACATTTCAGTCCCTAACAAGGTCTGACCCCTGGTTTTGTGTTTAAACACACATTACTGTGAGTATAGACTAGAGATGAGAATATCCCCATCTTTTCTTCACTAGGGACATGGGCATCACTCGCATTGCAGATGGTGTGAGTGATGAGAGGGCACAATGGAATGCCCCGGGTAAAGCGTGGCGACGCAGCCTCACCGACACTCCCACTCTGAGCCCGGGCTGGCCTCGTCACTGGTGCCCTGCAGGCTGCGTGTCTTCTGGAAGGCGATGGAGTCTTTTTACCCTACCCGTGTGGCCTGCGACAGCTGACTGATAACTGAGCTTGCTTCACTTCACACACCTAGCTTTTGCTGATGACATCATTGCCTCTGAGATCGCGTGGGAGGGGATAGCCTCTCTGCCCTAGGCTGACCTGAGCCTCGGTAGAGATATTTTTTACAAGGACCGCTTTGCCCAGAGACATTCTATAGGGATCCATATTTATCTCTAGGTACTCATCTACCTTGTGTTTCAGTCCACCTCAGGGATTGTCTAATTCCTTCCTATGTGTATTCCGGCTTTACCTCCCGAGGTCGGGAGGAGGAACTGTTTTCTACAAAGGGTCTGGGTCTGCCAGGAATAGGGCAGATGAGAACATCAGGACTGTGACTCTTAGCTTTTAAATTCTAGATTAAAAAAAAAAAATCTTTTACAATGATTTACAGTGGTTTAAAAGATGATTCTCCTAAGTGGTTTGAGTTACCCTTGGGCAGGGCTTCTGACCTCAACAGGATAGGCAATTTGGGCTGGATAATTCTGAGTTGTGAGGGCTGGCCTGTGAATTGTGGGTCCAGCAGCATCTCTGGTTTCCATGCACTAGATTCCAGTAGCACCCTCAAGATGTGCTCGTAAATTGCCAGATGACCCCTGGGGGAGTGACAGAGCCACCCCTAGGGAAGAAGCACTGGGCTAGTACATTATAAACATACACTCAATCTAACTTTTGGAACTATGTCGAAGTTCAAAGTAAATGATCTGTTCTGTCCATTTTGATTCAAAAAGTCGAAACACACCTTCAGGATGGTTTGGATGTTACAGTCAACTGCAGTCCACACATTCATTTCTCAGCTTGAGCCCTCTCTTCCTGTAGCCATCCATTTGCTGTACAGATGCTTAAAGCACGTCATGGCCGATAGTAGGAAGATGTTAAGTATTATTTTCTTTTCTCTCTTCATTTTTCCTTTCCTTCCTCTACCAGTTCCTCAGATTACAATAGATTTTCTAACCTGATGGTAATTTTGTAATTCTTGCTTTTGAAGTTTTGAGTTAATGGTATTTTCATGAATTCCAAGGATTGACCTAGACTTCTTCTTCCTCTTTTTATAGACCTTGCTAATGTCAAATTGACTTGAAAACATGATTTATTCACTTTATGTCAGAGTCCTGATCAAGAGTAAGTGCAGATTATAAAGCAGTATGTTCAGGCCGGGCGCGGTGGCTCACACCTGTAATCCCAGCACTTTGGGAGGCCGAGGCCGGCGGATCGCCTGAAGTGGTGAGTTCAAGACCAGCCTGGCCAACATGGCAAAATCCCATCTTTACCAAAAGTACAAAAATTAGTCAGGCACAGTGGCTCACACCTGTAATGCAGCCACTTGGTAGGGTGAGGCAGGAGAATCGCTTAAACTGATGAGTTGTAGGTTGCAGTGAGCCGAGATTGTGCCACTGCACTGCAGCCTGGGTGACAGAGTGAGACTCTGTCTAAAAAAAAAAAAAAAAAAAATGTGTGCGCACGCGCACACACACACCCCCCCCAACACCCCAAAACAAAACAGTATATTCAATATGATTCCATTTTTACCTACACGGCCCCTGCCATAATAAATACACGTGTTCAGACATATACTCAGGAAGATATGTTTCATCCTCAAATCTGTACCCTACATGGATCTCTTAATGAATCTGTTTCTTTTTGTTCATTTATAGCTTTCTAATTTTTCCTACAATAAGCATCTATTGCTTGTGGAATTGAAAAAGAAAAAAAAGATGCTTGCAAAAGTTGTCCTCAAGCTCCCTGAGAAATCAGTACGAGATTCAGCCCGCACCCACTGGTGTTGTTAATGGTAACAAGAGTTGTATTGGAAATGATACTTATTTTTGGAAGACACAGGGACAACTGAGTCACCCATAGTATTTTAGGGAAAAGAATGAAACAAGAAACCCCAAGTGAACAGGTGAAGATTTGCTAGGCAGATTTCTGTCTTGTACTGAACGTTTTTTGGGTCAAGACTAGATGCATGTGCATGAGCTCAGATGGAACTGTCCTGAGCTGTGGCGGGCTGAATTTAGCAGTGAGCTCAGGCTCAGGCCACTTAGTGTCACCCTGCAGAGAATGACTGGTGTAGCCTGGGGCTTTGTATGCCTAGTAGACGTCCGGTAAGCACACAGCACTCCTGGAGCATGCTGGGCTCGGGTGTCTCCCCGTGAGTCAACTCACAGACAGGATTGTGTCAGCCAGCACCTGTCAGTAATTGAAAGTACATGCTCGCTGGTTAGAGTCCTTTTAGAAACCAAACTCAGCTTTCTTCAGGGAAACAATTTGTGCTGATGGGTATAACTCCCTTCATCCTATGCACAGTAAGATGCTGTTAAGAGGGGGTGTCCGTTCGTACCAGCCCTGTTTGTGAAAATGGTGGACAGGGAAGGAGGCGGATGTATGCAGCTGTTCAACCCTGAGTGCCCCGCGTGATCAACAACGTGGTTAGCACTAAGCTTTCATGGTTTAGAAGTAAGATGGCAGGCTTGGGAGATGGACACATGACATTCTCCATCCAATTTCGATCATGTATTATTTATGTGTAATACCTTAAATGTCTGGGTAAGTTATTTAACCCCCCAGAGCCTCAGCTCCCTCATCTGTAAAATGGACACAAAGCAGGCTTCCTCTTAGATTTGGTGTGAGCATAAAGATAGAACACACGTGAATAACAGCCTGGTATACGGCAGGTGTTCAATATTGCTCTCCCTCTGGTCAGTTTCCAAGTTCGTTGCTAACAGTAGGCACAGGCCAAGCATTCACAAAGGTTTTCTCGAAAGGAACTGATAGTAAATACTCTAGGTTTTGTGACCTAGGAAGCAAAATTAAGGATACTATGTACATTCTTACATAATAAAGAGAAAACACATTTCTACCAATTGTTATTGATTTAGGAATATAATAATAAAAATTGAGCACATTTTTTTTTCTAACATAGAGTTACTAATGTAAATAAAAGAATCCTTTTCTGGGGAGATTGCGTTTTACTTAACTGAGGTTCAGAGTTAGAGTTCCATCAAATGGATTGCCAGTGTTCACCTGTACAAACCATTCTTAATTTTCAGGTCATGCAAGAACCGGTCATGAGCTGAATTTGGTCCACAGGCCACAGTCTGGAAATCTCTGCCATTGACTGCTTATTACTAACACCAATCTCTGCTTGCATTCTATCTGTAATCATTAATGGTGAGTAAATAATCTGAGATCATAACTGATGAATGAACTGTTAGAGAGTACCATCTGCAGAGGAGGTTGAAATAATTAAATAACTAAACAGGCACTCGGAAGCTGACAAAGTGCTTAGTCTTATTTGATTGAATAATTTTTTTTTTTTTTGAGACAGAGTCTCCCTCTGTCACTCAGTCTGGAGTGCAGTGGCGTAATCTTGGCTCACTGCAACCTCCGCCTTCCAGGTTCAAGTGATTCTCCCGCCTTAGCCTCCAGAGTAGCTGGGACTACAGGCATATGCCACCAGAGACCAGCTAATTTTTGTGTTTTTAGTAGAGACTGGGCTTCACCATATTGGTCAGGCTGGTCTCCAACTGCTGACCTCATGTGATCTGCCCGCCTTGGCCTCCCAAAATGCTGGGATTACAGATGTGAGCCACTGCGCCTGGCCGTGATCAGATAAATCTTTAAAGAGTATCTTTCTTTGTGGTGAAAATCTGGAAAACAGCAGGAAGAAATGATCAGGCCACACAATCCAACCACCTATGATGAGAGACCAAGCAGCGAATGATTATGAAAAGTCAAACAGGTTCTTTCTGTGTTGAATCAAGTAAGAAATGGACATGCTTGTTTTTAGCGATCATGCAGCTAAAGGAGGGGTTAAGATTCGGCATGTAAGTATCAGAGGGTCCCCTCCTTTCACCCTTCCACCCACCGGATGGATAGGTCAGATTGATCTAGTTATAGGACCCTTAAACATTCGGATGAAAACAAGACCAAAAGAGGTCTTGGGGTTATTATGGGGTATATTCTTCACCCAAAGGTATTGCATTTTAGCAGAATGCTAGAGTAGGAATTATCCTGTGGCATAGAAGGCAGCAGAGTGAGTGTTAAGGGGAAGCAATGTGATGGGACATCTCTGATAACTGAGTTGGCAAGAAAGGAATATCCATATTTCTGGATATTTAAGAGATAGATATGGAAAAGGGTCAAAACACAAAGAGCAAGAAGGGACTAAGGTTTGTGAGAAAGGGTCCAAGCAGGCTCTTTCCCATTCGTGTGGCAGAAAGCAGGGACCCCACGGCCACCCCTCATCTGAAATTCACTGAAAGCCTGTGGACATTTACAGAAGCTGCTGGGCCAGTGGTGCCGAAGCTGCTTAGGGCAAAGATTTGTAAATTTAAGAGTGTTGAATTGGGAAAGTGCTTACAACTCCTTGTAACGAAACCCTCCTTGGAAAAATAGTTGTTTTGAGGCAGAGATATTTTAAAATGTATTGTTTTAGCAGAAGGGCAATTTTTAGCCAAGGAATGTTTAGCAAATGAGCTTTGGCGGTGGGTTTAAAAATAGTTCTTTTCTGAGCTGATGCTGACACATCTTTTCTCCATTTTTGTGTTAAAAGAATACACAGCAAATGCATTTTCTCTTTGTTTAACAAGTTGGAATAAAATACATGATTTATATAAAGATAAATGTCAAGCAGAAAAACTGAAGTATACTTCCAAGCAAAATTTATTAGATGTCTATTCAAGAAAAACACAATGGCCTTTGCTTGTACGAATTCAAAGTCAATTCCTGGAAGCCAGGTATGAATATTTTTTTCTTTTAAAATCAGATACAGAGAGTAGAAACAGTAATTTTTCTTAAATATGACAGGCAACAGATATTGAAGTCTTTTCCCATAAATGGCATCAAAGATAATTATTCATTTATCAGCAAAGCTGCATGCACTTGATTTAATTTCAAACCCAAAGCCTTTAAAATATAAAGCTGATTGTGAACTTGACAGAAATCAAGGTAGGCTACTCAAAGATGTTTCTTTACCTTCTTCCTAATGAAATTCCTTTGTAATCAGTCTGTATATATGTACATTTCAGTTTGGCTTCTACGATCTTTTCATAGATTTTTGCATAAATGCTGTCTGACAGAATGACACTATCTAGGGGTGCTTGTGATCTGTGAGACAGGGAAAGGCTAATCAAGACCAAATCAGGAAACTTCCCTGTTTTCTCAGCAACTAAATAGTCTGTACAAAAAAAGAGCAAACATATGTACAAAATTCTAGAGGCTACGTACATTGTGAAAAGATCAATCACTGTCCAGGGGAGAAATGCCATAAAAAGTTTTATCTATAAGGTGCTCAAGATCCAAAGATGAATAGTTCTTATGCAAAGTCATAAGAAATACAAAGCTAGTTCTCGGAGTATGTGTAATTTAGGCACTGTGAACTATATTAAATCCTTCAGGTCCCAATATCATTTTGTAAATTTCTGCTTCAGGGCAGAAAATAAAACCTGAATGATTTAACATTGTTCCTAAAAAGTGCCTAATTTATTCCTAGGAAATATTTTACACACACCAGGAAAATCAGGCTCAACATATTCCTGTCCTCAAATGTAGCCAGGATTCTGAGTTCCATAGAAGAAAAATAATTATTATAGTAAAAATAATTGTATTAATCATAATCCTTGCTAAAACCAACCTTAATACTTGTGATGCTTCTGTACTCTATTTCTATAAAATAACGTGTGAGATTCTATTACATTTCCATAAAATGTACAACATATCATATGGATTATATGTTGTCATACAATCTCAAATGTTTATGTGTACACACAGTGAAATCTTACCTACTAGTATTGCTTACAGATACTTTCAAGTGTCTATGTTAGAATAATTCTTTGCACCTCTCACTAACACTGCTTTTACTTACATTTTTTTCAGATAAATAAAACACTAAGAGCTCACTGTTCATGATGCTGATCGTTACATTTTAATATAAAATAGCGATGCAACTTTACAACACAATAGTTTTCCCCTGTAGTCTAGCTCAGCCTCTTGTATTGTCATGGTTATTACCAAAGGCTCTTATTCATTTACTGTTTGCACTTCTAAAAAGTCCAAAAAAAAATTGCAGAAGAGGATTCCGATTTGAAAACTCACATTCAACCAACAAAATTGCACTCATCCAGATTAACTTTGCTCCTCTTGCTTTAAAGGCTGTAATCACTGTGCATATTACAACATGTATGTGCAGGCAAACAATTGCTAAAGTACAGCTACAGTTGTCATATGGTGTAAACCAAGACACGAGGCAAACTTGTGAAAAGAATATACACTGCCAAGCTAAGAATGTGAAAACGCAAACCACAGCATTTCCCAATCAACAATTTTCTGGTTGTCTTGTGGGGGAGAACATCGCCTGGGGAGAGATGTTGAAGTAGAGCCATGAGGCTGGAGAGCCTCCTGGAGATGCTTTTTTAATTTTTTTGCCTCAAGTATTTGACCATTTTTAAGTATCATGATTTTCTTTCTGATCCCACATTCTGACTGTCAAAGCTTAGGGCAGGAAGTAGGAATCCGCACTTTCACGGGGAGGCCAGCCTGCCATGTCGCCCCCAGGCTCACAGCAGCGGCAGTGACTCTGCTGGTGGTTTGCTGGCAGGTGGAGATGGCGACAGTGCATTGGAAACCATAAGGCATGACAACGGGAGGCCCGCGGGGTGTCCGAGGCGCGGTGACGCAGGTGCATGGCTGAAAGGCGGCCTGCATAAGGAGGGAGAGTCATTCACAGCCTTTTGACGTAGTTTCCGGGGAAGGTACCAAAGAATTTGGTTCTTCTTGAGGTTCCTGAAAACAGAAGTGAGTAATGAAAGGTGGGTAACAACAGTATCAGTTCATAGCATGGGTTGAATACCTCCCATTTACAAGGCCTTGCGAAGAGACCAGGCCCAGAGGGGTTTGGAAGAGAAGGTAGGCAACTCACTTCAGCCCATAGGCAGACACAATCAGCAGTTTTCGCTGGTTGCCTGACGCTGTCACTGCCCCTCCAGCATAAATGATGCCCTGCCATCGCGTCCGCCTAAACAGAAATGCTCAGCCTCCCAATCTAAAGGCAAAGGAGGAACTCCTCCTCCTGCTGAAGAGGCCGGCGGAGGAACTCAGCCACGGAGGCTGCCACACAAGAGTGGCAGGTGAGGGATCAGGTGAGGCTCACAGGTGACAGGGTGAGTGGAAAATCCTAAGAGCAAGGCTTCTCGGGGGCCAGCAGCCTGCGCAACACGGGTGCGACATGAAGGCGTCATTGGCAGCACCCGGTCGCTGTCCAAACAGTTTCACCATCTCATAGATCATGCTCAGTGCCGCATCATTTATTTAAAAACAGCACTGCCGGAATCCTTCATCCAGCATACAATTAAAATTTTTCAACAGTTTACAAATCGTTAAAGAAGAAAAACGTTCAAGCACTACTTTTGTGTGGGAGTTCTATCGCTGAGCATGATGTCTTTCTTTTATATATATATATATATATGTATATTGTGTGTGTGTGTGTGTGTGTGTGTGTGTGTGTGTGTGTATATATATATATGTAAAATTGCACTTTAGGTTCTAGGGTCCACGTGCAGATCATGCAGGATTGTTGCATAGGTACATACATGGCAATGTGGTTTGCTGCCTCTATCCCCCATCATCTGTATCTGGCATTTCTCCCCATGTTATCCCTCCGCAACCTCCCCACCCCCTGCTGTCCCTCCCCTAGTCCCCCACAACAGACCCAGTGTGTGATGCTCCCCTCCCTGTGTCCATGTGTTCTCATTGTTCAACACCCACGTATGAGTGAGAACATGTGGTGTCTGATTTTCTGTTCTTGTGTCATTTTGTTGAGAATGATGGTTTCCAGATTCATACATATCCCAACAAAGGACATGAACTCATCGTTTTTTATGGCTTCATAGTATTCCATGGTGTTTATGCATCACATTTTCCCTGTCCAGACTATCATCGATGGGCATTTGCATTGGTTCCAGGTCTTGGCTATTGTAAACAGTGCCACAATGAACATACATGTGCATGTGTCTTTATAACAGAATGATTTATAATCCTTTGGCTATATACCCAGTAATGGCATTGCTGGGTCAAATGGAATTTCTATTTCTAGGTCCTTGAGGAATCGCCACACTGTCTTCCACAATGGTTGAACTAATTTACACTCCCACCAACAGTGTAAAAGTGTTCCTATTTCTCCACATCCTCTCCAGCATCTGTTGTCTCCAGATTTTTTAATGATTGCCATTCTAACTGGCATGAGATGGTATCTCAATGTAGTTTTGATTTGCATTTCTCTAATGACCAGTGATGATGAGCATTTTTTTCATGTTTGTTGGCCTCATGTATGTCTTCCTTTGAGAAGTGTCTGTTCATATCCTTCACCCACTTTTGAAAGGGTTTGTTAGTTTTTTTCTTGTAAATATGTTTTTGTTCTTTGTAGATTCTGGATATTAGCCCTTTGTCAGATGGGTAGATGGCAAAAATTTTTTCCCATTCCATTGGTTGCCAGTTCACGTTAATGATTGTTTCTTTTGCTGTACAGAAGCTCTGGAATTTAATTAGGTCCCATTTGTCTATTTTGGCTTTTGTTGCCAATGCTTTTGGTGTTTTGGTCATGAAGTCCTTGCCTCTGCCTATGTCTTGAATGGTTTTGCCTAGGTTTTCTTCTAAGGTTTTTACGGTGCTAGGTCTTATGTTTAAGTGTTTAATTCATCTGGAGTTAATTTTAGTGTAAGGTGTCAGGAAGAGGTCCAGTTTCTGCCTTCTGCACATGGCCAGCCAGTTTTCCCAACACCATTTATTAAACAGGGAATCCTTTCCCCATTTCTTCTTTTTGTCAGGTTTGTCAAAGACCGGATGGTTGTAGATGTGTGGTGTTGTCTCTGAGGCCTGTGTTCTGTTCCATTGGTCCATATCTCTGTTTTGGTACCAGTACCATGCTGTTGTGATGACTGTAGCCTTGTAGTATAGTTTGAAGTCAGGTAGCATGATGCCTCCAGCTTTGTTCTTTTTGCTTAAAATTGTCTTGGCAATGCGGGCTCTCTTTTGGCCCATATGGAGTTTAAGGTGGTTTTTTCCAGTCCTGTGAAGAGGCTCATAGGTAGCTTGATGGAGATAGCATTGAATCCATAAATTACTTTGTGCAGTATGGCCATTTTGACAATATTGATTCTTCCTAACCATGAGCATGGAACGTTTCTCCATCTGTTTGTGTCCTCTCTTATTTCGTTGAGCAGTGGCTTGTAGTTCTCCTTGAAGAGGTCCTTTACATTCCTTGTTAGTTGTATTCCCAGGTATTTTATTCTCTTTGCAGCAATTGTGAATGGGAGTTCCCTCTTGATTTGGCTCTCTTTAAGTCTGTTATTGTTGTATAGTAATGCTTGTGATTTCTGCACATTGATTTTGTATCCTGAGACGTTGCTGAAGTTGCTTATCAGTTTCAGGAGATTTTTGGCTGAGATGATGGGGTCTTCTAGATATACAATCATGTTGTCTGCAAATAGAGACAATTTGACTTCCTCCTTTCCTAATTGAATACACTTTATTTCTTTTTCTTGCCTGATTGCTCTGGCTAGAACTTCCAATACTATGTTGAATAGGAGTGGTGAGAGAGGGCAGCCTTGTCTAGTGCCAGATTTCAAAGGAATGCTTCCAGTATTTGCCCATTCATGATGATACTGGCTGTGGGTTTGTTGTAAATAGCTTTTATTATTTTGAGATATGTTCCATCAATACCTAGTTTATTGAGGGTTTTTAGCATAAAGGCTGTTGAATTTTGTCAAAGGCCTCCTCTGCATCTATTGAGATAATCATGTGGTTTTTGTCTTTGGTTCTTTTTAGGTGGTGAATTACGTTTATAGACTTGAATATGCTGAACTGGCCTTGCATCCCTGAGATGAAGCCTACTTGATTGTGTAGGTTTTTGTTGTGCTGTTGCAATCTGTTTGCCAGGATTTCATTGAAGATTTTTTTGTCTATGTTCATCATGGATATTGGCCTGAAGTTTTCTTTTTTGGTTGAATTTCTGCTGGGTTTTGGGATCAGGATGATGTTGGTCTCATAAAATGATTTGGGAAGGATTCCCTCTTTTCGGATTGTTTGCAATAGTTTCAGAAGGAGTGGTACCAGCTCCTCTTTGTATGTCTGATAGAATTTGGCTGTGAACCCATCTGGACCTGGGCTTTCTTTGGGTGGTAGGCTCTTAATTGCTGCCTCAACTTTAGCCCTTGTTGTTGGTCTATTCAGGGTTTCAACTTCTTCCTGGTTTAGGAGGGTGCAAGTGTCCAAGAATTTATCCATTTCTTCCAGGTTTACTGGTTTATGTGCATAGAGCTGTTTGTAGTAATCTCTGATGGTGGTTTGTAGTTCTGTGGAATTGGTGGTGATATCCTCTTTATCAATTTTTATTGCATCTATTTGATTCTTCTCTCTTTTCTTATTTATTAATGTGGCTAGTAGTCTATTTTGTTGATCTTCTCAAAAAACCAGATACCGGATTTATTGAATTTTTGAAGGGTTTTTTGTGTCTCTATCTCATTCAGTTCTGCTCTGATCTTAGTTATTTTTTGTCTTCTCCTAGCTTTTGAGTTCTTTTGATCTTGCTCCTCTTTTGATGATAGGGTGTCGATTTTAGATCTCTCCTTCTCATGTGGGCATTTATTCCTATAAATTTTCCTCTAGACACTGCTTTAAATATGTCTCAGAGATTCTGGTGTGTTGTTTCTTCGTTCTTGATGGTTTTGAAGAACATCTTTATTTCTGCCTTCATTTCATTGTTTATCCAGTCAACATTCAATAGCCAGTTGTTCTGTTTCCATGAAGTTGTGGGGTTCTGAGTTAGTTTCTTAATCCTGAGTTCTAATTTGGTCTGAGAGAATGTTTGCTATGATTTCCATTCTTTTGCATTTGCTGAGGAGTGATTTACTCCCAATTATGTGGTCAATTTTAGAGTAGGTGTGATGTGGTGCTGAGAAGAATGTATATTCCGTGGATTTGGGGTGGAGAGTTCTGTAAATGTCTATTAGGTTTGCTTGGTCCAGATTTCAGTTCAAGTCCTGAATATCCTTGTTAATTTTGTCTCATTGATCTGTCTAATATTGACAGTGGAGTGTTAAAGTCTCCCACTATTATTGTATGGGAATCTAAGTCTCTGTGTTAGGTCATTAAGAACTTGCTTTATGTATCTGGGTGCTCCTGTATTGGGTGCGTATATATTTAGGATCATTAGCTCTTCTTGTTGCATTGATCCTTTTACCATTATGTAATGCCCTTCTTTGCCCCTTTTGATCTTTGTTGGTTTAAAGACTATTTTTCAGAGACTAGGATTGAAACTCCTGTTTTTATTTGCTCTCCATTTGCTTGGTAAATCTTCCTCCATCCCTTTATTTTGAGCCTATATGTGTCATTGCATGTGAGATGGGTTTCTTGGATACAGCACACTGATGGGTTTTGACTTTTTATCCAATTCGCCAGTCTGTGTCTTTTGATTGGGGCATTTTGCCCATTTACATTTAAGGTTAATATTATGTGTGAATTTGATCCTGCCATTTTGATGCTAGCTGGTTGTTTTGCCCATTAGTTGATGGTCTTTACAATTTGGTACATTTTTGGAGTGGCTGGTACTGGTTGTTCCCTTCTATGTTTAGTGCTTCTTTCAGCAACTCTTGTAAGGCAGGTCTGGTGGTGATGAAATCTCTGTGCAATTGCTTGTTCATAAAGGATTTTATTTCTCCTATGAATCTTAGTTTGGCTGGATATGAAATTCTCGGTTGAAAGTTCTTTTTTTTAAGGATGTTGAATAT